TTTAGCTGTCACTATCGATTAAAGGCAATTAAAAGCCCCAAAATACATATTAAAAAAAGAATATGTGCTCTTACATTTCCATGTACTTTTGTACAGACTTTATCTAGTCTATTGATTATTATCTACACTGCAAAAACATCTCTCTATCTGTGTGCTGTTCACACAGAGAAGAGAAGATGCAACTTAAATCAGACTACAGAGTGAGTACAAGATAAAGGGCGAACCAACTGAATTTGCATGACGGTAGTTGAAACCCTGAGATACAATCTAGTGTTTGTCACACAGACGTCTTCACTGTGTGGGAGCGCCAAATCCTGATGAACTGTGCACCATATTTATTGTAGAAGTGTGTGCGTACGTCCGTACGTGCGTGCGCGCGCGTTAGTCTGTTGCAAAGTCACAGTTTCCTGTGTTTTGTTTCCTTTCTTCTCTCTCGGCTGGGTTTTAAGTTTCACAATTACACGAATCCAAACCGTTCAGTATTTTTTTTAAATATATGTTTCTATGCTAGCAAGTCAGCAGAATAAAGATACAGATTTACACTATTTGACTCATTTATCTATGAATTCCTCGTGTATCAGAACAGTTTTTAAAAAGGGCATACAATTAATAGTTTATACTGAAATAAAACTGTTCTGGTGTCTTTAACTTTCGTTTCCTAAAGTTTCATTCCCACTTCAAACGCTCTCGAGACCAAACCAGCCCACGAACCATATTTGGAGCATCAACTTCTTCCGCTTTGGTGCCGTTGGAGGACCACCGCGTTGGCTCCTCCGCTCATACGTGGTACCTCCTGTCAGACACGCCTCTCAGCCAATGAAAAGACTGAACTAGGTAAAATGGGCGGGGCATGCCCCATATTGGGTCGTTCAAGACGGAACGCAACAAGGCTGATAATTTGCAGTAGCTTGTTGGTGTTCTTGCGTCTAAGTCTCCGTGGAGAGGAACTGTTCAGCAAATACAGGTATTTATTTCATTTGCAGTTTAACTTCGTGTCTAGTTCTGGCTGCCATTTGCTCACTGCTATACACGATGTCTGTAAAAGTAACGGCGCTGTTAAAACGTATAAACGTGTTATTAAATGCTTAATACGCAATTTACAATATACGCATTGTAAAATATAACATGTAACATATATAATAGAGGTTACAGTGAGTGTATTTTTAACATACTGCCATTGAACAGGCCTGCACAAGTGATGAGGTAGTTGTTTTATACACCTTGCAGACTTCACAAGTGGACGGAGTCAAACAAACCGCTGGTCATCATGGCACTGGACGGATGTGGCCTCGCCTGCAAATACATCCTCTTCATTTTCAACCTCATCTTCGCGGTAAGTCTGTCAGATATACATAAAAAAAAAAAAAAAA